ATCCGCATCACCCCCCATACCCCATGTGGCCATGTAAAGTTAACTCTTTCACTACAAAAAAACCACACTCGTATTTTTTGAACCACTTGTTTAAGATAAGAATTTTGAACTATCTAGTTTTGTTGACATAGAAATGTTTTTACTTGGATTGTAACTTATACCAGACCAAAACATATTAGACCAGACTTGAATAGTTACAAAAATACAAAAAAAATCAAACACTACTAGACCAGATTAGACCAGACTAACAAATTACAGTCCAAGTAAAAACATCCATAGTTAAGTGATTGTTAATTTTTAGTTTATATAAGAATAAACATAAGAAATACGAGTATATATATGAGATTTAAATGATAAATAATTCTAAGTCAATTCTAACACTTGAGTCGTACAATGAAACACTTGAGTCGTACATCAAACCTTTGCCATCAAACCCTTATATGTGACCAGCACGAAAAATAATGAAAGTAAAAAATTTTATAGTTAAAATATGTGAAGAGAAGAAAGAAATGATCAGAAGCACAAATTGAGTGACCGTTTGGATGATATGAAATTGGTTTATAAGCCTTAATATACAATAAAAATCACCAAACACCTCTTAAATAGGTTGATTTGGCTGATTTTTATTATGAGCAAAAAAAGTAGCCTAACTCTTATTTTTTGGGCTGATTTTTATTATTATCCCAATAATCTATTAAAAGACATATTTATCCTTCTCTAACTCTTTAAAGACATCTGCTAATTGTCTTAGCTTCTTCCCAGCTGCGTATACTTTTCCTGACCGACGTATTTTAGAATCGGGGCGCATCAATAGTGTTGTTGCTACATACACCGTTTAATAACCAAACATTCCGGCTCAGTTGGTTGTGAGGTTACCATGTATAGTGGGAGGTCTCCAGTTCGAATCTCGCTAGGCACATGAAGGTTGAAAACACAATGGAGTGAGTTTCAACCCTGATTTCTCCAGGCCCCCAGCCTCCCTCCCCCAAAGACCCCGGAGTAAAAAAAAAACACCGTTTTTTTTAAATAACCAAAGCAGCTAATGCCGCCGTACCCTTTTTTTATACTACGTAATTAACAAAAGATGTTGTTAATTAAGCGCTGCATGCGAACTCCATCATTCAGTATTTATTTACTTGTTAGCTACTTAATAGTGTACGTAACTAAAAGTGTAATATTTAGTATAAATTTACTTATTTAAATTAGTAAAAAGATTTTACTAGCAAAGTTAACATACACACGTAACACACATATAAGTACAAAGAAGCAAATACTCCTTCCGTCCCTAAATAAACTTCCAACTTTCCTTTTTCGTCCGTCCCAATTAAAACTTCCACTTTCCCTTTTTGGCCAGAATTTGTGGTTCACAACAATTCTTACACATTTCTCTCTCCTCTGCACAACTCTCCACCACACAATACCCACTATCTTAAACTCTGTGCCAAACCTATTTGGAAGATATAATAGGGACGGAGGGAGTACCTTTTTTGGTAAATATACTTTCAACCACTTCAGCCAAAATATAACCTAACACTTTCACTTCAACAATTTTAGCAATTTCACCCATTGCAGCTATTTCAGCCATTTCAACCATTACCAAAGAGGGGCCTTTTTATTCCAATATTACCAAAATGAATGAAAAAGATAAAAAAGTGACATGTTTTAAATTTTTCTAAAAATGTGACTAAAAGTCATTTATTCCTTATATTTAATCATATATTTATTTTATAATATTCCTTTTATACATTTGTAGCCACTAGCACCGACCCCAGCACCACCACTGCCGCTGCCGCCGGCACCGCTGTCGTAGCACCGCCGCCGCCGCCGCCGGCAGTCACTATCTCAGTGACTCCGGCCAAAGTGACTGCCGCCACAGTGACTGCCGCCACAGTGACTCTGACGCCACAGTGACTCTGATGCCAGTCCAGTGACAACCATAATTCCGTCCAGTGACTGCCGCCTCCCCTCGTCAGTAACCTCTGCCCGTCACAGTGACCGACCTCCCACCGGCCATATGGCCGCTGAAAAGTTTTCTAACGTCGCCCTCTCTCATCCCCAGCCACCGCCGCTCCACCGTCCACTGCCGCTGCCCATTCTCCGTCCACAACCGCCACCCCCGTCCCCAGCCCCCTCCCCTGCCCTAGCTATACACTCCAGATCCCAACCCAACCCCTAGTCCCCTATCCTTTCCCAGCCCCACCTTGAACAATCAAGCTCAACCTTGACCGCCTGCAACTGAACCCTAGCCACCACCATCCCCCAGATATGGCCGTTACTGTTCGTCATCTTAGATCTGACCATCCATCTGAGGCGAGGCGGACGAAGGCGGCCTGTGAGGCGAGGTGAGGCGGAGGCAGCCTGTTCGAAGAGGCTGAGGCGGAGGGCGCCTGTGCGGAGAGTGTGAGGCGCGGCAAGGCTGAGGCGGCCTGTGCGGAGGTTCTGAGGCACGGAGAGGCTGAGACGGAGGCGTCCTTTGCGGCGAGGTTGAGGCGAGTTGGAGGTGAGAATGGCCGTTTGTTGCGTGCGATTTGATGCGCAGGGGAGGGGGAGAAGAAACGGCAGATTGCTTAGGGGAGGGGAGGAGACACGCGGAGAGAGACGCGGGGAGGCTGAGTCACATTTTTAGAAAATGGGAAAAGGGTCATACTTTTGTAATTTGAAAAGTCAAATGTCATATACGGGCAATTATTTCTAAAAATAACGTATATTGAAAGAGAAGTGAATTGTTATTAGGGCAGTTCACTTATCGCAGGTGCACTCTTTGCTCCTTTGGCTCTCTCCTCTTCGAGACTCTCCATTGTTTCAAGGGAAAAGGGGCAAATAAGCCTTCGAACTAATAAAAAAAGTGCAAATAAGCCCTTTTGTAAGAGGTTCTGTCCGGTCGCCGTCATTTGGAGAGATTCCCAGTAGAGTTTTTTGATGAAATTTTTTGAGTATCTTCTTCATTAAGTCTAGTTTGCCCATAACAAATTTCAGCTAAAAATTCAACCGGGAAGGCACTCAAATGATTTTCCGAAATATACTGTGTTGTTTAACTACGCAGTTATCTTCAAAAATTCATTTGATTGTCTTCCCGATTGAATTTTTAGCTGAAGTTCGATATGAGTAAACTAGACTTAATGAATAAGATGCTCAAAAAAACTCATCAAAAAATTCCACCGGGAACCTCCTCAAATGACGATGGCCGGACGGAACCTCCTACAAAAGGGCTTATTTGCACTTTTTTGGTTAGTTCGAGGGCTTATTTGCCCCTTTTCCCTTGTTTCAATCCAAATTATTGGGTCCAACTTATGTATGTGATGGATTTATTTTATGATTTTGTTCTGTATTAGTGTATTACTCACTCCGTCCCACTATGACTGTCTCATTTTATCATTCGATCCGTTCCACTAAGATTGTTTCATACCTTATTTGGCAAATCATTCCTTTATTCTTACTTTATCAATTCAATATCAACCACATAAACACAATTTAATTAATAATCGTGTCATATTCTCTTGTCCCAAACTTAGGGGGCGGAGGTAGTACAAATTAAGAAAGTAGTGTTGTAAAGCCGTAAAGGTAAAGGTAGAATTGGAATATGAACTAAAAGTAGAATTGCAATATGAATTACTCCGTATATTTTGTGAATGATAAATTCTTTGCCAAAAAAGAAAAGTGAACTTCTTTTTGGAACGGACGAAAAGGGAAAGTTGAAACTTCTTTTAGGGACAGAGAGAGTATGATTTAATATAATGGACTTAATGGAAGTTGACTTAAAATCGGTAACGCGCTGTATATCTGCGTTTACTTATTGGACTTAGAAGCTGTTCCGTTCGTCTTAATCTTATTACTTATTCCTTGATCTTATTTTATTCAGATCAGATCAGATCAGAAAGATTCAGATCAGATCAGATCAGATCAGAAAGATTCAGATCAGATCAGATCAGATCAGAAACATTCAGATCAGATCAGAAAGATTCAGATCAGATCAGCAACATTCAGATCAGATCAGAAAGATTCAGACCAGATCAGACCAGATCAGAAACATTCAGATCAGATCAAAAAATTCAAACATGATTTATCACTTTTATTAATATATTAATTATGATTATTATATTATAATTATTGTTAATAATATTAATATATTAATATAATAATATTATTAACAATATAATAATAATAATAATAATGTTAATAATATAAAATTATTATTATAATATAATATAATATAATATAATATAATATAATATAATATAATATAATATAATATAATATAATATAATATAATATAATATAATATAATATAATATAATATAATATAATATAATATAATATAATATAATATAATATAATATAATATAATATAATATAATATAATATAATATAATATAATATAATATAATATAATATAATATAATATAATATAATATAATATAATATAATATAATATAATATAATATAATATAATATAATATAATATAATATAATATAATATAATATAATATAATATAATATAATATAATATAATATAATATAATATAATATAATATAATATAATATAATATAATATAATATAATATAATATAATATAATATAATATAATATAATATAATATAATATAATATAATATATTTATAACTATAATTATCATTATGATTTACAATGTAATTATAATTATAATCATCATTATTATTAATATGATTGTTGTTCTTGTTGTTATTGTTGTAATTATTATTACTTCGGAGTAATTATATATTTAAATTAGTAATTATAGATATAATTATGATTATAGAAATAAATATTATAATTATAATTACAATAATAATTATAAAATTAATCATAATTAAAAATATAATTACATTTATAATTGTATTTGTACTTATAATTAGTGTAATTAGTATAATTATTATAATTTTAAATTTAATTTATTTATTATTTTTTATAATTATGATTATAATTGTAATTTTATTTAAGTTATATTTTTAATTACAATTATAAATCTAATAATTATAATTATAATTACAATTATAGAAATATTCAAATCAGATCAGAAAGATTCAGATCAGATCAGAAACTTTCAGATCAGATCAGAAACATTCAGATCAGATCAGATCAGATCAACAACATTCAGATCAGTTCAACAACATTCAGATCAGGTCAGAAAGATTCAGATCAGATCAGAAAGATTCAGATCAGATCAGATCAGAAAGATTCAGATCAGATCAGATCAGATCAGAAAAATTCAGATCAGATCAGAACTTAAAAAATTCAGATCAGAAACATTCAGATCAGGTGAACGGAACAGCTTCTTAATCAGTCAGACAATTCACGATTCACAACTTCTCCGCTCACCCGTGTTTTATACTCCTCGCGATTCAGTCATTCGGACATATCAGCTTCCTTACATAATCATGGGCTCATGGCTTCTTCCTCCCAACATTTCATATATAGCTTCAATTCTCCAAGTCGTAGATATATCTTCCGAAACAAACCAGTGAGCTTTGTCGACTGGCGACCGCAGCTTAGCAGCAGGGGTAGCTTATAAGGGGAGTTAGCCAAGGCAAATGGCTTGGGCCTCATATTTTTAAAATTATTATTAGTACGGAGCATAAAATATACTCCGTATATTTTAATTTTACTGGTTTGAACTTTGAATTTTGAAAGAAAAGACATCATGTGTTTGATATATTGATAGTCCAAAGATAGATAAAGTGATTTTATTTAGCTCTAATTAATTAAGGCTCGTAGGCACGCCAATCTAGCCACCATAGTAATTGAAGTAATGTTTAATTAGTTGGATCACTTGGATGGAAGTAGTTATTTAGTTTTTATTTTTTCATTTTCACTGATTATGGTTGTATTTGTGATCTGTTGACTGCTTTATTTTTTATTTTTTGTAAGTATGTTACGGGGGCAAACAAAAATCAAGCACTGTAGGGATTTAAAATTTAGAAGTACTACTAAGATTGTCTCATATCAAATTTAGTAAAGTTTGTGTAACTTTAAATCAATCTTAGTGTATTCTTACTTTATCAATTCAATATCAACCACATAAACCACTTTTTATTGGTTTGTGTGTTACTCTCTCTTGTCTCATTGTTAATGGGACAGAGGGAGTAATTTAAGAAGTATTTTGGGAAAGTATATAATATAATGGAGTAACGGGTTAGAAGTGCGATGTTATGACTTACTTGTATCTCACCCGTGCGTTGCACGGCCGATATAATTAATCATGTATTAATCTAAACAATAATGTTTATACAAGAAGGGATATATCAAAAAATTACAGTGCGTAATTGATGGTCACTAAGACAATTTCAAAAAAGTATCACCAAATAATATGCAGAAATTTACCCGTTCTGAAACACTTCCTTGTACGCGATATTTGTGATCACATTTGCAGTTTTCTCTTTATCAAATTTCTGTGGGAACTTGGCATATGTCAATCTTGCTTCAATATAATGTATTTTTTTGTTTGCCTCGCCCAAACCAAGCAAGATACATGTTATCCACAACATTTTTCCGATAGGATAAAAAACTTTTCCCAATTCTTCATGATCAGAAAAGATAATTGGTCGTTATAATGTGATATGAAATTTTTTCCAACGATCACAATAACAATATAATGGCGCTGACGGCGGCAGCTGTGACACTGGTGACGACAATAATCACATTGGCAAGGACATATTAAACTAATACTGACATTAAGATTTTTAATTTCAATGTTACATTTTTGTCCATATATAAAAATAGTCACCTATTCAAAATCAACTTTAATGTAGTACTCTGTAATATTTAAGGAAAATCACAACATATAATTATAACAATTGCTATAAGAGATATTACTTGAAATAGGACTAAAAGAGTTTGAAACTTTCCCTTGCTATAACTGATTATTGCTACAAATATAATCACGTATAATTTATACATCACCTTATTTATACATTGAATGCGCATGTTAATGGCATCATTTTTACTAATCGTCTGTTTCACCCTTTTGCACATTTATTCTGGAATAAATGCGTTATTTCTATGAGATTAAAATTTTTTATGATTTCACTTTGTATAGTCTTCGGTACACTATAACATTCGAACGATATTGTTCAACTTTGATCGTATATAATGGATTATTGGATTGAGGAATAGTGCACTTTTTACTATGAAGAAAAAAGTTAAAAATGAAGATGTGACCATATTCTTATTCCATATAATATATTTTTATTCAATTGAATGGATGAATACTCTGTAGTAGAAATCTGAAAATAGGGAAAAAAATATTAGTAAATACGTAGTATTATTCAAAATCGAGTATATCTGTATCACTCAAATAATTAAGTTTACTGGGCAAGATAAATGAATTTAATATTTCATACATTGAAGCGAGTCATTGAAAGGTTTGATCAAGCACAATACAAATAAATTTTCACCAATAAAATTAACATTTTTTTTGGAATCAATATCATTAGAATTCGATGCATCAAAGTTTAGGCTTATTTTATTTACATCATTAAAAAGTATCACTACTTCTTATAGAGAGCTACATGACTACATCCCAACTCATAATATAAGACAAATTTAACAAATTCAATAAATTGAAAAAGAAAAATGAATAAAGTTGGCCTGTGGATAAGGCTCGGTAACTTGGTCCATCCATTCATCTTCCATAGGCTTAACTCATCATATTGAGCCTTCAACAGTTCAAAACATGTCCAACCATATCTCATTCAGAGCTTCACTAATTCTTCATTAATGGTATATGTTCTTCTTCGGTTCTTCCACAGAGCATACTCGTTCTCTTTCTGCATTCACCAATCTCCTACATCTTCTATTCTCCTACAATTCTAAATGTTATTAATAGAGGCAGTGGAAAGTGGAAATCAATCTCAATCTGATTTGTGATGAGTGATGCTTAATGAAGAGCGTGAAAAGTAGAAATTATAATTTTCATAAAAGAAAAAAAAATACGTATATATACATTTATTTATTTATATAAAAAATACACTTTAATTTATATATTTATATCTAACGTTTTTCATAAATTAGAGTATCTGAGTTTTTGTGTACGCATGTAGCGCATTATTATATTGACATCCTCTTTGATTTGGCTGGAGTGTTCTAATTGTTAAATGTCCCACACCGGAAAATTGAGAAGCACTAGAGTGCTATATTAAGCTTCGGGCTACTCCTCCTAACAGGTTGACCTTTTAGGATGGAACCCCGGGCCTTAACATGGTATCAGAGCCAAATCGATCCATGGTGTGGGGCCCCTTATGAAAAATGACGACACGATAAAAAAAAATTGACGAACCGATGAAAAATGAATGACGACACAATCCAGACGAAGTGTCTGGTCGTGAGGAGGGGTGTTAAATGTCCCACACCGGAAAATTGAGAAGCACTAGAGTGCTATATTAAACTTCGGGCTACTCCTCCTAACAGGTTGACCTTTTAGGATGGAACCCCGGACCTTAACACTAATGAATAAATCGCACTTTGTGTTGCAGTCGTGGAGGTTCATATTGTTCTAAACATTAGCAAGTATTTATAGACTATTAGGGTCTTGAATACGGAGTACTTCCTATGTTGCACGTAAACTCGAAATTCTTGAGGAAACAGAAAACGGGATATCAGAATCCATTAATATATCTAACTTTCTTTCTCTCTCTCTCACTTGTTTTGCTCTGACTTCTCTGATCTCTAGGTTATTCCTCGAATAACCCCTCGGATAAGCTACCCCTGGGTACACTATTCATGAAGGATATATTTGTGAATTTCATGATCGTTTGGGATAAAATAAACTAATAATCCAGAAAAAAGTTATAATGAGTAATTTACAAAGTAACAAAAAGTACAATAGTAGTATATTACAAAAGCAAACATTAGTGTTTTTTTTTTGAAAAAGCAAACATTAGTTATGATCACAATATATACTAGTATCAACTTACCTCAAAGAAACTAATCCATGCAAGCAGTGGCGGTTCCCTAAGGCATCTCATTACTTAACTCATCCAAATTAAACAGGTCTTTTGTCAAATATTGAAAAAACATATCAGTTATATACTTTAGATTCTCTTAATATCTAGATAAAATTTTAAAATGGATTTGTTAAGTTTTCAAAAAAATGAATTTACACTGCCAGACCAAATAAACTTTATAAATACCATTTTCCAGTTTCTTCTCATTTCTCCTCTATTTTTTATTTTATTTTCTAGCTGATGCATACAAAGTATTAGTTAGGATAGATTTGGATAGGAAAATATTTACATCATCAATTAAAAGATTATTAATTATCATAAAATTAGGATCACTTAACCTATTTGTTAGTTTCTTTTATTTTGAAAGGACAATTTTTTCAGTTAAAATGTAAACAAAAATAAAAATTGAGTTTTAGAATACAAAACCAAATCCGTCCCTGAGTGCACACTTGTACGAAAAAAATACACACGCATGGAATAACAATTTTAGATATACATAAACTCCGTATATGATAGTACATACATGTCCATAAGTGCAAACATATGTGACAAGGTGCGAACGTGTAGAAGGAGATCCATGAGTACAAAGCGTCGTCCTACATTAGATTAGCAAGTTGTTGTTTAGATTTGCAATACAAAATTAAATATCCAATTAAGTTTTTATACACACATTACTACATTAGTGACATGAGAGAACAAAGTGCTCGAGCTAAGCTAAACGATCCAAGGAGTAAGTTTATTTGTATTTTCTGGAATATTTGGAAACGACAGAACAATGTTGTGTGGAAGGAGCAGTGAATGGTGCGACTGGAATGCTGGCCAGCTGGAGGGGAGGGAAGTCTCCCAAGGTAGCAACACATGACCAGGGCGAAGCAGTCTGATACCGCCTGTAACACTCCGGCCCCGCAGGACCCGAGATAGTTACTTCAGACCTCTAGTACTGTCCCCACAAACCACCACGAGCCTTTACCACACACTTTGTCCTCACTCATGCGCGCCCTGAGAACTTCTCAGGGGGTCACCCATCCCAAGATTACTCCCGTGCAAGCACGCCTAACTTTGGAGTTCTTAGGTGATGAGCTCCTTTAAAAGGAGATGCACCTCTGTTGGTAGGAGTAGTACTATTAATCCATTTATATTAAATCTCAAGTGTTACAATCACCCCCACTTAGGATCGCAATGTCCTCGTTGCGCCCTTAAACAAATTTCAATCAAACCCCAGAATCTTTTCCCCTACTAAGTGTCTGCCCGATATCCAACGGATCAACACACTGTCGCATGGTTGCTCTGATACCACCTGTAACACCCCAACCCCGCAGGACCCGAGGTAGTTACTACTACACACCCTCTGGACCTCTTAAATTAATCTCGGGTGTTACAATCCTGTAACACCCCGGCCCCGCAGGACCCGAGGTAGTTACTACTACACAGTACACCCTCCGGACCTCTTAAATTAATCTCGGGTATTACAATTACCCCCACTTAGGACCGCAACGTCCTCGTTGCGCCCTTAAACCAATCTCAATGAAACCCCAGAATCTTTCCCCCTGCTAAGTGTCTGCCTGTTATCCAACGGATCAGCACACTATTGCAGGGTTGGTCTGATACCACCTGTAACACCCCGGTCCCGCAAGACTCGTGGTGGTTTGTGGGGACAGTACTCCGGTGGATTCTTTCTTCCGTTTGTTTGTACGCGGTTTGGATTTGCAACCAATGAATAGCAAATTGAACATGTTAGAAGGCACCAAAAATCCAAAACAAAGACTGATAATGTAAATTGAACATGTTACAATCTGGAAACTACAATTCGCGTATGTATCTACGATAATGTTAGAAGGCACTAAAAATCCAAAACAGAGACTGATGCTTCGAGAATTAGAGCTACTAGAACTATGCATATCCCTTATATGAAAGCAATCAGAAAGTCAATAATGAACAATGACTGAGAATAATAAGACTGAGATTAATTACGGAATATAAGAATAATGAAATGAAGGCAGAACATAAGGAGCTAGATCAGAGGCTGAGTTCGAGGACATCAGACACCTTCTTCAACCTGCTACACACGACGGCACCTGCTGCATCAATTCATGCACAAGAAACTAGTGGCCGGTAGGGAATTGACCGGAACATGCATCGTCCTCTAAGAGCACTGCTGAGGAAGATCAATGAATTGAAATTGCTGATTTGCAATGTTGAACGAACCAGAAGTGTAATGAATTTTGAGAAAGAAAACAATGCAAATAAGATCAATGGAATGAATTTCTTAGAGGATGAAGTCGTTCATACCTGTCGCTGAAGGAGCAATGTTCACGAACCAGCTGCTATGGCAACCAAACAGCAGTAGAACTGCAGAAATGAGTTCGTTTCACAGAGCGAGAGAATTAGTGAGCGAAATTGAACGAACCAGTAGTGTAATGAATTTTGAGAAAGAAAACAATGCAAATAAGATCAATGGAATGAATTTCTTAGAGGTTGAAGTCGTTCATACCTCATGCTGAAGGAGCAATGTTCACGCGAGAGAATTAGTGAGAGAAATTGAAAACGCATAGCTGCAGGTCGTTGGAGGAGAGTGTATGGGAGAATGAACGAAGGAAGGTGGTGGTCCTACACGAGCTTTTCCCCTTCAACGACTTTTTTTATTTTTTATTTTTAGCACGGACAAGTTTTATTTCATTGGGCCATGTAAAACCCCTCATCATACAATAGTATGTTTTACGTCTCCATTGGTTCAATTTTGGTAAAAAAAAAATTGTACTAGTAAATGTTAAACTCGGTTCAATTCTAGTAAAAAAAAGAAGTTAAAATCTATCGACTCTAGTTAAATTCGGTGTGATTCATTATAAAAAATATTTTCCTTTTAAAAAGAACGCATTTCACTTTCAGTTACATAAAAATACTTAAATTTCAAATATTGAAAATAAACTGTCAAAATTATTAGCATTACATTATACATACATGTTACATCAAATGTTCAGATATTACAAAAGTATCCAAGTGTCATATGTAGTAGAATATTCTAATATTACTATTAGACCATATGTAAAAAGTAATAAACTAGTAGTATGAGTAAATTATTGTGCACAAATAATAACATAATCAACTGGAACATTAAATTTGCACCACCAGAAAAAGATCCCAAAATAAGCTTATTAAAAATAGGGAGAACCTAGATATGTTGATTAAAAAAGCATGAGCACTTCCACATTTAGATTTTCAATATCAGAGCTTAGAAGAGTCAATGTCTTAAGAGGAGAAGTTTAGATGAAGAAATTGAATAGCGCTAGAATTTTTTTTATTGGAACAACGTTCGGCCACCTCCATTTGAGGTAATTATGAGTATAATATTTTGATGAAATTTGGGATCATGTTCTATATGAAGTGTAGATTATGTCCATCAAATTTTAGTTTAAAGACCAATAGAGAAGTTAGTTAGTTAAATAAATTATTGAAAAACACTCCGTTTTGTATACATATTTAGTGTTTCATATTTTTAATTCATATATACGAAAGTTATATTAAAATGTTTTTTAAAGTGCTTTCATTAAACCTTTGGAGTTAAAAAAAGGTGCTTTCATTAAAGTTTAAAACTCCATATTAGTTCTCTCAAAAAAAAAAAAAACTCCATATTAGTTTACATAATTATAAATACAAAAATTATTGTCCAAGACCAAGAAAAGTTAAAATTGCCAAGATTTGAGAGGACGGGTGATGTGTGTTTTCTCGTACTTAAAAATGATGTAGTAAAGTGATTGAAAGTACGAGTATCGTCTCCACAGGGACGGACAAAAGGGAAGTAAAGATTAACTAAATTCAGCGATTAAAAGAAATAAATAAAATAAATGCAATTGTGCGAGATTGGTTGATTGATTAAAATAAAATTAATGCTAATGAACAAGTAAAAAGATTGGTTTTTCCTTAATTAACGACGAAGGGAACAGGAATTGATTCCGGGGTTAACCAGATTTCTGGCAGAACAGGCCTAATTAATGAATTTAATTTAATTGAGCCTAGCTAATCATTACTAAGTTCTTACCGCTCTCGCGGCGAAGAGTACAATAATTTAGGCAACCAGGCTGATCTCTCATGTGACAAGATCCTAAATTATTGCCAAGATGAGCGAGCTTACGGCTCCTTAATCACTACTAATCTCTTAGCGAACGATTAAGTGTGTGTGAATGTGTCCTAGAACAAATTAGATCTCTCTTAATTCATTCTACATGCAATTGTAATTCTAGTCGCGATTCTAGGTTACAAAAGATATCAGTTAAATTATTCAAACACAAATCAAACGACATTCATGCAATTAAACTGACAAGAATCTAGCCATCAATTATGATTAACCCATTCATCAACCCCAAATCCCTAATTAAACTACTCACGCCTCATAATTGACGAATCAAAAGAATTGGGATGAATAGAATAAATTGTCATTAATTAAAAGAATTGAACTTACAAAGAATCACAGGTTCTCGAAGTAAACAACGTTAAAACGCAGGTAAAACTCGTCCTAGGCCTTTCCACAAAGTTTGTAACCTCTCAAAAGGGGTATGAAAAACTTATTTATAGAAAACAGTAGAATTTGAGCTAAATAGGACAAATCGGGGTCAGGCACGATCGTGCCTGGGATCGTGCCTGCGGAGCATGCGCCCGTCTCGATTGCAGGCACGATTGTGCCTGGTCACGACACGATCGTGCCTTGTCAGGTTACGATCGTGCCTTGTCAGGACACGATCGTGCCTGGCTGGCAGTGGCTTCGCGTGCAATCCTTAATGCAGGCACAATCGTGTCTGCCCTAGGCACGATCGTGCCTGACCTTTTCTTCATCTTTTTTCGCCGTTTCTTGCTCCAAATGCTCCCGGATGCCTACGAGGTCGATCCAAATGCTCTATCTTCATTAGAATTTCGTCGTGAATCTCCCAGTGACCTCCAAATCTCTCAAATCTTTCTTGAATGCCTTCAAATCCTTCCCGAATGCCTCTCAAGCGCCGATTGTCGGACTCTAACTTCTTCAATTCAACTCCAATTACAACGAAACACAATCCAACGCCTGCTGAACACAACTTGAGCCAAAATTGAGTCTTGCAACGCCTTAAAGCTAGGAAAACCATCAAAATCCGACCCGAACACGCATCAAATGCTTCCTCAATTGTTTTTTTATTTGCAACAATGGACCTTGCACATTTGCCATTTTTCAATGCACACATTTGATAGTCAATATATCTTATTCTCTATTAGTAAAAAATAAAAAATCGGAGCTTGAAAATTTGTAAGGAGACAAATTGAACAATATTTTGAAAAAAATAATTATCATAAATTAATATATAAAATGTAATCAGAGTAGAATATGTGAATAGTGTAAAATTCAAAATGTTGCATTTTAAAAGGTATGCGGAGTATAGTATTCCATTAAAGAGTCGTGAAGACAGGCAGTGACTACATGAATAGGGTGGGGTGGAGAAGTTAACAATCAGGTTGCACATCATATTCTTCTGGGACTTGAGGAGGGGTATAGGTGCGGAAACGGTAAATAGAAAGACTGACTGAGAAGCCAAGTGCCAAAGCAGAGAGCAAAAGACGATTATTGTTGCTCATCTCCTTGCTCATCATTCCCGCAAAAAAGCAATACAGAAAGGCCTGCACTGGTACTGTCACAAACACTTCCCAAGCACCCAAGTCATAATAACCTGATAGCCTGCTCCATCCATAGAGTTGCAAGCTCCAACAAGCCAATACAGCAGCGTGTTCGATGTTATATGGTAATATATAGCTTACTGCCATAGCTAAGCCCACAAAGAAAAGCTCCAATGTGCACTTAAAATCCCTTCCCATCAATCTATATTTTTCCTCCACGGGATCACGAACGAAAAATCCGAGGGTCAGTGTACACTTCCAGATTTCTATATTGGCTCCAAAGAATAATAGCACGTCCAATGTCCATCCAAATATATCCATGATCATCATGAATTCGAGGACACAGATGACGAGAAGTAAACCCTGCCATAGCCTTACCTCAAACTCTGAAAGAATCACAGATACATAAAAATGCTTGTCATGGTTTGCATAATCAGTGGCGTAGCCAGTAGCATATATTGCCTAGTTGGGCTGACAAACAAATTTTTTCAAATAATTGTTTCATAATCTTTTAACATTTAAAATCAAAAGTTTTCCAAATTTGGGGTGGGCTGAGCTAGTATATATACTATCGTATATACCATGCTACACCCCCGTACATAACAGCTCCACTATAATATGTGGCACATTAAGCACATTAAGATTATATTGTTTTAAATGCACTCGTTTAAGAATAAACACATTCAATATATTTTCTTAATAAAAGTATCTTGTGTTCAAAGTTCAAACCATATATCCGTAGCACTTTAATTGATAAACAGGAGTAAAAACTGGGTGTTAAAAATAATTTACTACCCATATTAAATGGTTCTATTTGACGTGCATAGAAGAAGCACTGGGCCCATGAAGGGTTCTAGACAGCTGTGATTACTTTCACTAACGGTCGCGTGTGAAACTAATTTGTGTGTGTGTACATGAAGAAAAACAGACCTGAGAAAAGCATGTCATATATGATAGAAAAGCATAAACGAACATATTTACTTAATTACCTCTTCTTTCCATGCCAAAGGATAAGACGGTGAGCAGTTTTGCGCAGCTTTCGATTAGTTTGAAGCAACAGATCGAAACTGCTGGCTAGATCGGTAACAAATCGATAAATCGGTTGTTCAGGACCTGATCAAAATACCAGCTTAGCTAGGTTCATTGCATTCTTATATGTAGCACGGAAACGAGAAACAGGAGACGCAGAAAACCACGTTTTCAAAAAAAAGTAAGACACGAAATGTGGAGGAAACGCGTAAATGTAAAAAAATACTATCGTATAGGATTGTTTTAATACTACCTCCGTAACACAAAGATCTTCCCATTTTGACTTTTCACGGTCTTCTAAGTTGAACTTTGACTCTAAATATCTACATATCTATATTTATAAAATTCATAATAAATTAACATTCAAATAATATGTTTTACAATGAGGTATATAAAATAAATTTTTAATCATAACATAATGTGAGTTTTGAATAATTAATGGTCAAAGTTTATAAAGTTTGACCCAAATGAGTCAAACTGGGAAGATTCTAGGGTTACGGAGGTAGTAAATAATTTCCTACATCCTAAGCTATTACCTTCATTCTTAAATAAGTGCAATGGTCAACTTTTCATGTGTACCGATGCACAACTTTGACTATTAGTGTATTTAATTTTCGATTTTTTAAAAATTTAAAAATTCAGATTTTGAAAGTTTAAAAGAGACAAACTTGACAATATTTTTATACAAAAATATTAATACATTAATATCAATGAAAGTAAAAGTAAAACATGTGAATAATGTAAAATTTAACCTAATAAATAAAGCATTTGTTTAAGAACCTATAAAGTATATAAAAGCATAAATTTCTTAACATTAGTGCCAATCAAAATTGAATAATAATGAATAAAAAACACAAAGTCACTAAGTCACTAACAATTATGCCATCCACTCTTGTCAGGCTGTACGCATTATAGAAGCCCCTCATCATCTATCCCCTGTTTGCTTTTTTGGGCATATCTATCCCCTGTTCTCTTGAATTAATCAAGAAAATAATTCAGACTCCCTCCTTATCTATTTAATTGACCCGTATGTTTTTTTACGTAGTTTAAAGCAAATATATATAAAGCAGAAGGTTTTGAGTATTGTAGCGGTACTGTAGTTACTTTTTGGGTGGGTTTATTTCCAAAAAGGGAATGAAACATATATTTTGATACGTCCCAAAAGGGAAAGTGCGTAAAGTAAATTGATACGGCCGGAGGGAGTACAGAGTATCACACTATCACACACACTTAGTAAATTCGAAACATACACATAAGAGAGTACAAAACATTAAAGGCTAAACACAATTACAGAAAACTTAAACAGTTCAAAGAGTAGATGAGATGAGCATGATGATTGACGGCTCACCGGAACGAGTGTAGAAATTAGAAGAGAAGATGCCAAGAAAGAAAAGGAACTGCGATCGGCGGAAGAAATAGGGCTTCTATGCGGGATGGATGAGATGACTAAATTTTTTTGTTGCCTGAAGATCTCTTTAATTGGGCTATAATTTGTTGTTCTGATTTGGTCAAATTTGATCTGATTTTTTTGTATTTTTATAATTATTCAAGTCTGGCTTGCTCTGATCTGGTCTGATGTAGGACAGATTACGGACCAAGTAAAAACATCTTCTTCTCTCAAATACAAATTATATTGTTTTTAGAAACTAAAAATTGTTATAGGTAGGATTAAAAGCGACTACCTACATTTTAAATCCTCCCAAATAGGACTATATTGATTTATGCTATAAATACCTCTAAGAGCATTGATTCATAAAATGTTTTAAGAGTTTTAAGAGTTTTTCCTAAAATATTACTAATACAAAAGTCATGAATAAAAATGTGACTTGGTAACTTATAGTTACTATATATAATTGTGTTCAAAGTTTATATCGTGGTCATTATATCATAGTAACTTTTAACATAATTATACTAACTAAATTTACCAAGTCGCATTTTTGTCTGTAACTCTTAAAAGGGTAATAAGAGTGGAATTTTATCTTGTTTTAATTAATAATAAAATCTTAAAAGAAAATGTAAAAAAATATTAAGAATATCGTAAAAACATAATAAAAAATAATAAAATATTTTTTAAATAAATAATTTATACTACCTCCGTCCCAAATTGAGTTGCAACTTTGACTTTTTTTGGTCAAACAGATTCGTTTTGTTCGCTTAATTTGGATGTCAATTTGTAATTATATTCCAATTTGGAGTTTACAACTTTGAAGAGATTACAATGTAGTTTATGAATATGTAAATTTTAATTATTAAAAATTGAATTAATTATCAATAAGAAGGTTTGACTTTTATTATTGGTTGACCAAAAAATGTTGACTTTGCAAAACAATTTGGGACGGAGGGAGTATTTTTTAAAATTAATAAAAAGTAGTAAATGGAGGAGCATTTTTGTATCTTCATATAGGGTTGTGGTGCAAAAACAAAGATTTTAAAAAACGGGATGTGAAATCCAATTTGGACAACAAAAGTGTGTGCAAACTCAAATTACCCCTTATTATTTTTATACAATTTAGGCTATGTTTGGCACTTCAAGCTGGAGCTGGAGACTGAAGTCTGAAATGAAGACTGAAGTCTGATCGAATTAAAAACTATTGTCTGGAACTGAATTATAAAGTACTGAATCTGAACTGTTAGCTGAATGAAGTGTACTTGTTTGGCGGAACGAGCTGAAAGGGTGACTCGAAAATGTTAAATTACATTTAAGGGCATAAAATATATTATTCAAAAATATTTAATTATTATAATAATTACTAATTTTTCACCTAAATAGATGCTTTATTTGTCCTGTTTATTTCGTCCTAACCCTTGGTGAACAAGGTAAGAACAGTACGAACAGTGCTTTGTTTTTTAGTTTGCAATTTCATTTTTTTAAAAGACAACCTGCGCGTTGTATCTCCCGCACAGTTTGAGGGGGTGTAATAGGCTAATATAATTAGGAATCTACCTAATAGATATTTAGGAATCTGCCTAATATCTGTTTAGGAATACTTTGTATTTTGGCAACTCTTCTATTATAAATATATCTGTCAGGACTCCTATTGGAGTACCTCTTTCCCATTATTTCACAGGTTATGCCTCCATAAATCTCACCCCACCAAGTTCCTAATTAAGAATGGAGGATACACACAACACATGCACCGATTAGTTTTCAATTATTGACCGAGAAAAAGTTATATTTTCGGATTTTCCTATAGTTGAGGTGCATCCAACAAAAGACATCGGAAGAATAACTGAATATATATTACTCTTGGATAAGATCTGCACCGGATGGTTAGGGTAGAAAATAATTCCATAGAAAAAGATATAATAGGCGAAGAATCACAGAGAAGAAGAATTAAAGAAATCGAGCAAAGAATTATGCAGGGAAGAACCCGGAAATGATGTTGCGTGCAGGGATATTTTAGGAATATAAGTCGATTATACACTCGGCTGAATAGAGACGTTTCGTTTCATAACGTTCCCATTCAGACCTTTATTTTGAGCTTAAGCTCAGTGTAGCCTGCCATCCAAACACACGTACTTCAATAATTATTGGCTGGATTTTCAAAATTCAAGCTCATTATTAGCTGAAATGATGTGTCAAACATAGCCTTAGAAATCCTTACTACGTTACTTACATATTCGATAGTGTTATTAAGCCAATTGATTTCCGAATTGTTTTTTTTGCAGCTTCCTAACCTATAATAGTATTTGTTTTATGTTAACGCATACATCTTTGAACTGTGATGGGATTCGAACTTGTGATCTACTCATTGGAAATGTCAAAGTGATGTCAATAGAACGCAACATATTTGGCTGTTAAATTTGTTTTTAGAAGGGACATTGTGCATGTATAACTAGGGTTGTTAACGAACTGAGCTTTTATCGAACTATTCGAGTTCGAGCTTGGTTTCAAACCTAACGAGCCGAGCTTAATGAGCTTAATGAGCTTTCGAACTCGGACCCGAGCTGAGTTTTAAGTTTGAAATATTAATTGAGCCGAGCTCGAACGTAGTAGTAATAGGCTCGGTTCAAACTCGAGCCTTTCGAACTCCCTGAAATTATAAATATAATTTATACTCCGTATATAATAAAAATTAAAAAATAATTAGTATGATTTTATGAATTTAAATATGTTTATTAACGAACCGAATACTTGTCGAATCATTCGAGCACGAGCCTAATAACGAGCATCACCTAAAATTTTAAATTCAACCATAGTTATCGAGCTTATCGAGCGCTCGGTTCGAACATCAAACGCCTATCGAGCCGAACACAAGCCTCATTTGTCAAGCTCGTCGAGCTTCGAGCTCGAACCCGAACACCATTAATTCTTTATCGGGCCGAACTCAAGCTTTAGGTGTTCGGGCTCGGCTCGTTAACACCCCTATGTATAACACAGAAGAGTTTGACACATTTTTTAAATCACATGGGGTTAGCGGCAGATCCTGTTATGAGAGGTGGAGTATGCTAGAAAGTAAAAAAGTTGTTACTTCATACTATGTTTCGCTTGAATAGTTATCAAACTCAGTTTTTTTGAATTATTCGAATTCAAGCTTGATTTCGATGTAAAAAAGTTGTCATTTATAAATGTTATATACCGTTAACTAGATTTTGAATTCAAATAGTTGTTCGAGCCCAGATGGAGCACAGTGATGTTGAGACCATTAACACATTAAATTTTTACATATGAAATTATTGTTTAATATTCAACTGTGTATGAAATGTGATGTATTATTAGAGCTTACAAGGACTAAAATTATGAATTATATTTTAAATTGATCTTTACGATCTTCACTATATTGATAATATCATTATTCATTCTAATTAATAAACACCATTGTACAAAACTAATAAATCATTATAATAACTATATTGTACAATAAACATTTCAATCCAATTGTGAATTTGAAAATTGAATTTAAATATTTAATCATTTCAATCAAAGGGTCAAATAGGCTGGTGTACCTATCCGTAATTCTCAATCAATCAGGCTTGAGGTACACATTTTTGTACACACACTTACACACTCGTGTTTGTGAAGTGTTTTGTTTTGTCTGTATACAGACACAACTTATTTCACAGACACTTCAAATGCGTTGTGGTTGTATACAGATAACAAAAAACACTTCACAGACATGAGTGTGTAAGTGTGTGTACAAAAAATGTCTAACAATAGTTTTTTCGATTCTCAATTGGCTCTTTCAATTGAAAATACAGTTGATAGGTCACATTTATTGAAACGAGATCTTGTTTTAACCATGAGTTTGTAATTACAAAACATCTTTGTTTAGTTTTAATTTCTTTTTTGAAATTTTATCTTATGAAAATATATAATGAGTTAAATTTTAATATCATTGACCGAGAAAAACCTATAGGAGAGAGCGAGCATATATTTGACTACTTTACATTTTTATTGATGTATTCCGTATTATTTAAGAATGAAAAGTGCAACTTAATTCTAAGTTCATGAAGTAAATAAAGTAAAAAAAAATGATGTACCCAAAAAAGTAATGTACATAAAAAAGTGAGTTACAAAAATGATGTCATGAATGAAGTAGTACATCTTCCCTCCCAAATTAATTTGCAAATTTGATATTTTGGGGTCAAGAGTCACATTTTATTCACTTAAACAGAACCTATTAGATTAGGTCACTAAAGTTTAGTCCCAATTAAAAACATCCTCTTGGTTTCTACAAAAAAACATCCTCTTGGTGATGTGATTTTTGTTTTTCTGCGGACCAAGATGTGGTTCCGAAACTCATTTGTTTATTTAAAATAAAGCAGCTCATAAATTGAAATATATTGATCATAGAAATATACTCCGTATTTAAAGCAATTTGCACTTGAATAAACCCTAGCTAAGCTTGGCTTGTGATCAATATCGATATATCCAGCCCCGCCTCCAACGAATAGAAAGCTGTGCAACCGCTTGTCCATGTTCTCAGTCACCATGGAAAGAATAGGTAATTGCGTTTGCTCTGTTCTGGTTGATACGGATTACGCATATTTCATCAGATTTTCGTTTCCGTATCAATTTTTGTCATCTCGGTTAACCTTGCAGCAAATTACACCTCAATTTTCTGTTCCATAGCATTCAATTTGATTTCTGCATACACATTCAACCAAATTAAACATGGATATAAATTTGCAGAGTGGTCGGAAATTGTATGGACTTGTTTGCTCCTTGTGGCATCGGTGGTCGAGACTATTACGATGATGGCAATCTTCGGGTGGAATTTGGCGGTGCTGTTTTTCTTTGTAGGGGGCGTTGGAGTGTTCAAGTGTTCGATGATAGTTCTGAATTTGTATGACAGGCCGGGCGAAGAATACAAGTGGGCAGGGAGGGGAACCAAATGCGCAGAGCAGATTTTCTCTGAGGTTTTTGCCATTGCACTGCGCTGCATTTTACCACTTAACATCGGATACGCAGTGATATTGGCGTGTTGGAGTCTGTACTACTACGGATGGCGTCGCGTGTACCTGCGCCATTATGACATCGGAGCTTGGGAAGTGTT